TCTAACGAGCGAATGCTCGTTTGACAAATAAAAATTGTAATATTTTTAACTAGAAAATCGAAATTCTTGAGGTATGTTTTTCGTAAAATAGAATACCAGTCGCAATTCGTACGTTGGAAAAGCATCGTCGCGGCAGCAGCTAGCTAATTGAATTAAAAACAATTATGCACGTATCGCTACAGAAAAAAAAATCGAAATTAATGTTGTTATGTAATCTAAAAAAATGATGTACAGGGAACGAAGTAAATTAGTGAAATTAAAGTGGTCGGTAGCTGATAGAATAGCGAATAGAGAAATTGTTGGAATAAAACAATGATATCAATCGAAATAGTAAGAGAAATAGAAACAGAGGGACCTCTAACTGTCAGTTAAGTGCCGGCCTGTATGAAAAGAAGTATCAGAAAAATAATTTGTAGAACAGAACGTACGTTCGAAAGTTACCATATTAATATCTTAAAACTGTTTTGTTTGTATACTGTGTGCGTAAACGCATAAATTGTTAAGTAACAATGTAGATGCAATAATAGATGAATCGAAGAATAAGGAGGAATTAAATGAGCAGACAGAAAAGGAAAAATAAAATGAATTAACGAATATTGCTACGCCTCATTCAATCTATGGTCATGGCACTACTATGTAGTATTAGAAGAAATAAATAGAGTCATGATTTTTGCTTTCTACTGCGTTTGATTCCCTGATTGGTCAAGCATCTTGCAGACGTTGTGTCAGTAAATTAATCACAATCGGAATTTCTCTTCCTTCTCTTTCTAGTGTAACATCAAAATGACAAAATCTCGGCCAATCAAGGTTAGAAGAATTAATTAACGTATCTAATTGTAAGTAGCAAGATCAAACACGTCTTTATATATCGAATGTATGTATTAATAACATTATATATATAGATATATATGTAAAAATATAAACAGGCAACAAGCGATTAATTTGAAAAGACCATCAACGATTTGTAACGGAGGATATGTATATCTTCTTTTTTCTTTTTTCTTCTTAATTATTTATTATTTGGATGCAAAGAATAGGTGTTATAGGGATATGTCGGGGATGTTGGAAGTTTGGGAGTTCTGGAATTACCCAGATGGAACTGGCAAGTCGAGAGATAAAGAGAGAAAGAAATAGATAAAGAGAAAGAGAGCTGAAGGTGTGATTCGGTTCTGTACGTCATCTGTAATAACAGAGTTATCGGAAATATTTCAGCGTGACTTGTGTGTACATCTATTCATCGATAGTATATGTAGCTTTCGCCGTCGACTTTTCACGGCACGATTGCGATCGACAAAAAGGTACAAAAAGAGCTGCCGAAGAAGTTGAAAAAGAAAATTAGTAAGAACAACAGAACGATAGAAAAAAAAAAAAGGTAATTTTTACGGTATGCAGAGACTATTTGTTCTTGCAAGCGACATGTATGCAACTACGGATATGTTTTATAATAATCATTGTCGTTCAAAGAAGAGAGAAACAAAAAATGTGGCACAGTTTTAGCATTACTTGGCACAAGTTCGTTCGACTAGAAGAGCAAAGATGCACAACATTATGATGAAAATAAGATACGTGATACGAGAGAAAAAAAAAATAGGCTGGAGACTGTAATCGTAGAAACAAAGCAACATACAAGAATACTAAAAAAAAAAAGGTAAGACACAAAAAGCACACAAACTTTCGATACTTGACATTATCTCTTTTACTGGTTTATTTTTTTGTTCTCCGTTGATATATATTGGTCGTAGAGAAAACTTAAAAAAAAAAAGATACAATAAACAGTCTGTGCATTGTTTTTTTCAATTTCAATTATATTTCTTTTATTGAATTCATCGTCAATAAATTTCATTGCTGACCCGAACTTTTAGTGCAAGTCATCGAGTGTTACATCACAAATAGGTGTATCGTTTATGATATATTAATTATCATCATTATCGTACGTGTTACCAAATATTATAATAATTATAATCATTACCGTTAGAGACCAATTGTTATTAGCTGTTAAATCGATAATAGTTCCGAATTCTATTTGCAATAGTTTAATTAACGACATTACATTGTATAATAATTTGATATATTTTTTTTCTGTACTCTTTTTTTCCTTTTTTGTTCGTACTTAATCGTAAAGTCCTAACATTATTATTTTAGACGAGGGGAGAGAGAGAGAGAGAGAGAAAGAGAGGACAATACAGAAATCTAAAACGTGTCTACGTAGATAAGGAACAATTTCGGAGGGTACAAGGAATTTTTAAATTATAATTTATAAAAGAAAATATTAATTTCATCATATTCAGTAAAAAACCTCGACTATGTACGCGAAACGAAAGGGTACATATTTAAGTCCCAGGCTGGAAAATTCATTAGGAACTCGATAAAATATTTAATCACTTCGATCGACGAACCACGAAACGAACAATTGAAACTCAACGAATTTAGGTATCCTTCGTCCTTAGCTCTCGTTTTTCTCGATACGAAATACAGTTGATTCGAGTTAATTTGTTAACCTACCTACTATGTACACGTGTTAACTATGTACGTATGCACGGTTGAATAGTCGAGTGCAAACCTATCTCTGTATACGTACACAAGTGTAGATATAGATTCTTTAAAACGCTGCTTAAAAGTGTGCCTCGTGTAAATGTGCAATGACCGAATGATAATTCTCGAACGAGAACGTAAGAACAAGCATTTTCTCGTTACCCTTAAAGCTTTCAATTATTCGCTCCATAAAAAGGTGGAGTTTCACGAAACAAAAGAACGGCCAATTATTTGCAGCGTTTAATTGTTCGAGCAGTCATAATTTTTCATTATAGATAGTCCTCTCGTTCGAATTTGTCGATACTATGTATGAAACACGTTGCAATTGGGAGCAATAAATCACTTAGCTTCGCTTTCAGAGGACGCTGTTCTCCTCGCGTAAGTTTCGTTCCACTCTCGCGACATCGTTCTCTCGATTAATTTTCTCTTTATTAAGCATTGTCTTCGTTCTTCCCGTACCTCGTCGGTAATAGATACTGTATAGTCACCAGGAAGCTTTAATAGATTCGCCTCGTCGACAGATTACTGTATCAAATATCTAAGTGCGAAGCATCCCGTACATTTCTATTTATAACTAGAGATCAAATCCAGTCAGACACTTTCAATTCATAACAAACGGAAATATTTGTTGAATTTATGTACAGATGATAAATTATAGTAAGATGTATTTCCACTCGGGGCACTTCGTCCTACATAAAACCCAGAGGAACGAAAGAACATCGAAAATTCCTGTAGCTGTCCAATCGCGTGATCGTAGTTCTCGTTATCGATCGTCTACACGGAAAACGTATTAAATTCGCTCTCTACAAAAAGCCGTTTCTTGTTCCAAAAAAGAGAAACGGAAAGGGAAGCTACGTTTCGCAAGCGATTCGCGAGTTTTGCGCGTCGATCCGTGACCACTATTCTCGCCCGCTTCTCTACCTACCCCCCCCCCCCCCCCCCCTCGACTTTATTCATTTTCGCTACGGAAACTGCCGCGCGAAACTTGTTAATTCCGCGAAAGCCGCAGGGCGAAAGAAACGATACAGGCTCCGGGGAAATCTGTAAACTCGAATATTATAAAACTTACGCCCGACAGACGAACCAACTTTCGTTCAAAACTCGGCCGCGTGCGTGTGCGTACACGCTCAAGAAATGTTATGCTCGGGATAGAATGTTCTTTGCGTTGAGCAGCCAGCCAGTTCTTAGATTTTAATTAAATCCGCGTGTTTGAGAAACGGGAAAAGGTGAGAATTTCAAGTGCCACGCTTGATTCGGATAGATTAATCTTTAATTAGAGAACAGTACCAGTCGTTGCGAGGATACGAATATTCTAGTTCTTAATTTATCACGTAATTCCCTATCTTTACAAATAATGAAACCTTATTGTATATAAATTTTCTTCTGCTTCATTTTCATATATTATTTATATATATAAAAGATTTTAATTTAATAAAATAATTATCAGAGGTCATTGCACATCTCATGTTAGTATCTTACTAATAATCATAATCACAATCACGATTTTATTCTTCTCACAGAATACGTGTCTCGAATGAACCTTACTCAACGTACAATCTCTACACACAAAGAAAAGAAAATAGAGAAAAGAATTAGTCGGTTCTCACGAACGTTGTCTCGGACTTTGTCATTGTGCGACGCAATCCCTTAATTAAAGTTCTCGTACACCATATACGCGTAGTGCTAACGATAACCGTAAGTGATTATTAAATAAGAGTACATAGAAATCGTAGATGCCACGCGTTCGTCGTCGAATGGCCTATAGATTCTCACTCGGGAGAGCCGTTCTTTACTGTGAACGTGGCTCGCCGTTTCGTTTCCGTTTCGTCATTAATGAGCTTCGTTCCGCCCCAGTTCGCTCGGTCACAAGCGATCCGTGAAATCATCGACACGCTGCACTCCCGCACGGATCATCTGCTGCGATATCGTTAAGCATTCGAGAACTCGAAACTGATTGTACGGAATCGGAAAATATGTTACATCGCTTGTCCATCCAGAACGAACGGGGAACGAAGCTTCGATGCTTTGCGATTTACTTGTTCCATTTCATTTCTTTTTTTTTTTGAAATTTATGTTTTATATCGTACACGCAATTATATTTTTTATCGTTTATCGAGTACGTGTATATAAATATGTATGTAACACTTCTCAGTGGAATAATCGAACGAACTTGCATCTATGCTTTTACGACTTATAGTTTAACCGGGAGTCAGCCAGATTTTCGATTTCCAACCTAGGTTCTTGTCTCTCTGTTCGAAAATCTCGATCCAGCTCGGGCTGACCTGCTCCCGAACGAACTCGAATTTTGCGCGTTATCTAAAAGGAACACTAAGCGGTCTCGTGGTCCTGAACACGAATGAAAATAAACTCAGACACACTTGAAATTAAACCGGTACAACTCGTCACGACGTTCGTATCACCCGGGTACAAATCGAAATTAAAATCCTCGAAATGAAAAACGTCTTACAACGATACGCAGACACCGGTACAAAAGGGTAATGAATCGAATCGAGAATTCCTCTAAAGAAGGAAGAGAAAGATAGGGAAAAGAAGAGAATGTCGCGAGACGAATTTGATCGTCTTCAGTAGTATGCGTGGACGTAGATCAAGTTGTGGATCGGGTGATGGTGAGCATGGGGATTGTGTAACGGGGTGCAGAAGGAGGTGGTGGTGATCGTGGTCGGGGATGGTGGATGATTGACAGACTGCATCGTGGAAACGGGCGACACCTGATTGGGGGGACCGGCCGGCACTTGATACACGGTATTGGGCGCGGCCATCGGGCACCTTGAGGCCCCGGCTGCGCCGTGTTGGGCCCCATGCTGTTGTTGTTGTTGCTGTTGTTGTTGTTGTTGTTGAATGTAGTTTGGTGGTAGACATACCTCGAGGCGGTCGGTACGTGGCATCTTCTGCGGCATCGCCACCGTCTGCGGCACCACGCCCAACGGGCTTCCGACTCCAGTGGGGTCCGCCGGACCCATGATCGTGGGCATGATCGGGCTGGGCGCGAAATACGGACTGTACGTGTTGCCAACCTGCGGCATACCGGTCAGGTACGGATTCGTCGCCTGTGAAAACACACCCGGAAAGTATCCAGGTAATACGGATTAGAACACACCTATCCCCACCTTCGCTCTAACGAGAGTCGACGCTCTCGGATCTTACGTTAGACATTCTTAGAAACCGCCACTTTCTTTAGCCCTCGTTAAACGACCCAACGACAAGCGCGATGCAAAAGATACCCCACCCGACTTTTAGCTGTATATCCCGCGACTTTTATTCTCTAACGTGATCAAAGCGATCAAGACTACGCGAGCGCTTCTGTCTCGTGGTTGTTAATCTTGCTCCTGTTTCGCTTTTTAGTTTTTAGAGGAGTAGAATATTTATAATTTAATCTGTTCTCTGATTGCTCGTTTCCAAAGTAAGCAGACATTTCCGCGAGGACGAATAATTCATGATTATGTTGCAACTTGAATCAACAGGTAATCCACTTTACGTACAATAAGCTTGTAAAGCATTTTACTCTGTGATCATGATAAATGATCTAATTTTCTATATCCTTTTAATATCAAAAATAAGAAGAGATCCCTTGTATCTTGTAAAATCTTAACAAATGAGAATATTCTTTGTTTTGATTATGTCAATCTCATTGTTCATTAAAGATTTCTAATTTGAGAAAAGTTAAAATATTCCAAGAATTGTTTCAGTCGATATTTCCAGGTCATGGGAGCCTGAACGAACAAAGAAGGAGCGAAACACGGTAATCGCTCGTGTAGCCTTCATCGTTATTTTCTTTCCGGCGATAATTCGGTGTTTTGAACGACAAGCGCTTGTTCCAATAAGAAGCGTTTTTGGTTTTGCAGAGAAACGGACTTTTCCCAGAAGCGAAGGTAGGTAATTTGAAGCGCAGCCGAATGAGCTGAACGCTCGTTTTCCTTCTTCTTCTTTAAGGACCTGTGTGCTTGTATTCTTCGAACTTTTCGCCGACGTATAGAAGCTTCCGGACGCGCGAGACACGCTAACCACCGCGCCGTGCCGAAAAACTTCCAACTAAATAGAAGATAATGGTTACTGACCCGGAAAACCGTTTTCCCGTTACGTGCCCGGAGAAAACGGTAATTTTTCATCGAGAAGCTAGCGTGTCTCGATCGTTCATGATCGTTATGCACGTTCCCCTCGCTTCGAGAATCAATTTCTCAGACCGAGGTTGCGAACTGATCGATAAAAATATAATTAAAAAATCCGCTACACAGGACGTTCCATTATTCCATTTATAATGAAGAAATTATAAGAACATTATCATTTTGTGATACAGATTTATATAAAAATGAATACCGTTCGATTCGGTTTTCTCGTTAAACAGCGAGAGGAACGTGACGATCTGTTCTGGCCGCAAAATATAAAACTCATGCTTTCAGGGAAAATTCTCTATATAAAAAAAATTTGTCAAAACTCTGAAAGAGACTTTGCCTCTTTAGATTAAATAAAACGAAACATCTCGTAAAGCATGCAAATTAAATTTCAATCTCAATTTACAGTGCGGCACTCTTTTTAAAAACAAGTCGAAGCTTTCATACAAACGCTTACTAATAAATAGTCTTACAGGCACACTAACACGTGCGGTAGCGATATCGCTGATAAAATTTGTTTATCCAATTACATAAATTCAATTTACAGTTTGCTCTCATCCTGAATATAAATTTTTAAACGGAATTACAACAAATTTGTCCACTTCGAAATGAATAATTTAATAAAACAATGATACTTCGATATAATTTTAATTAATCGATTATTTGAAGTGATATTGATCAAATTTGTTAACGATATCGCTGCTGCCGTGTGGTATTTTAATTAACTAAAAAATTAGTGGAAGCCAACCAAAACCGGGAGTTACCATAAAGGCGTGGGTAGCGAGAAGTTGCTGCTGGATTTGCTGTTGAAGGTGATGGTGTGGTGCCGGAGGTGCCGGTGCCTCCTGTTCACCAATGACGTAATTGGAGAACACACCAACAATCAACCACAACCACGAGAGCCACAGCGGCAAACATAGGGGACAGACAGGCAGTCATACGAGTAGTATAGGGTTCGATGTCACGTAGCAACGACTATGAATTATATATGTCATGAAATAAAAGGCGTAATGATGGTCTGATCTCACTGTGAACGTTTGCTCTAGCCACCGATATATGTGCTTAAAATACGAATTTTCTTCTATTTATTAATCGCACGAATTCAGATTGTATGCACGCACCCGCATGAG